TAGTTCTAGCTACTTGGAAGGCTGAGGCGGAAGGATCGCCGGAGCCCAGCAGGTCGAGGCTGCGGTGGCCTGGAGCAGCCACTGCACTCCAGTCTGGGTGACAGAGTGAGACTCCAACTCGAAAAAAAAAAAGTAGAAGCTTGAGTTAGCCCCTAGTCTTGAGAAACTCCTTAGATATCCGTTTTTATTTTATAGAAAGAAAAATCTAAACTAATCTTTAAAGTTAATGCCTAGTTTTAGTTTTGTAGCTATCATGCCAGCAAAATGACTTAATAACTTTTTTTTTTAGTGCCATTAAAACTGCCTTTTAAAACCCGAGTTCCTTTTTCATCTAAATAACAGCATCCAAGTATTAATATAAAAACTTGTTCAGGAGAAATTTGGAATGATGTGTGAGAATTTATCATTTATTACTAAAAGTTCTTGGTACTTATACCCAGATACATATTTTCTACATTTTAGTTTAGTTTTCTTTTTTTTTCTTCTTATGATTATAAAAGCGTTATATACTGGAAAATTATATGTGATACAGTAGAAACTAAAAATACCCTAAGACCACTTTGCTCCCAAGATAATGGTATTTATAGTTTGATGTCTGTTCTTTTATATTTTTTCTGTTCACATCAAACATGCATTTTATATATAAACATTTTCCTTCGTCTTTAATATATTATAAAAATTGTATTTGAAGGGGACTACAAACTTCAGGATTTATAGAAATTTTGTACCTTGAGAGAATTTTGCCTCTAGGTATTCTTAGAGAATAATATTTGATGCCTCAAAAAAATGTGGTGAAACATTTTTACTCCTATTTTTCTCAAGTGTCTGCTCCAAACTTGGTCTCTGTTATAGTCCCTCCAGAAATTTTTTGTACTTATGACATAACAGTCACCTTTCATGCGCTGACAGTATTTACTTGGTGGGGATAGTGTTTCTTTATTGATGTTTCCCTGCTCTCTGCTTTCTCCTTACTCCATTACAATTATAACAGCATCCTAACTGATTTCTGTGTCTCAAGGATCTCTTGCTTTGTCTGTGTTTAATATGACTAAAAGCTTTCATCCTGGCACTGGCCTGAGTCTTATCACAGCAGCAGAAGTGTCAGCCTTCAAGAGACTTAGTAAATTATCAAGATCAACTGTGAATTTTTAGATGAGAAAACCAGCACCCCAAAATTTGTCTTGTATGACACACATGGTTGTTTGGGAAATCTAGACTAAGACAAGTGTTCTGCTTTGCTTCCCTTTCATTTACAGTACTCATTGGCATTGAGTTCCTAGGCTGGCCTCCAGAAACCTATCGAGCTCACAGATCTGTGCTGATAATAAACAGGTAGCTCCCAGCAGACGTTTGTGAATTGAGAATGACTTATGTCTTATAAACAGGGATAACATTACAGAAATATTCTAAGGGCGTTGCCGTTAATCCTTTTAAAAAAACATTCTCAAAAAATTAAGCATTTTTTCCACATCCTACAGAATTTAATTACTGTTTGTAAAGATTAAAGGTTTATTGATTTGAAGTCACTTGAGCCTGTGAAGACACTATGAACATAGTATCAGCATAAACTTCATTTGGCTGCAATTTGCCATTATTTACTTTGAAGACAGTGTTTTGGTTTTATGCTTAGTATGTTATGAGTTTCTGTGGCACCCTAACTAGCTGGTACAAAATCTATAATAGAGCATAAAGGACAAAAAATAATAATAATTAGAATAAAATGAAAACCTTTGTACTTTGAAGATCACCATCAGGAAAATGGAAAGATAACCCACAAAATGGGAGAAATTTTTTTGCAAATTATATAACTGATAAAGGATTTGTATTCAGAGTATGTAAAAAACTCTTACAACTCAGTAATAAGAGACAAATAACCCAATTTAACAGTGGGCAAATAGTTTTTAAGGAAGATATACAAATGGCAGATAGGCACAGGAAAAGATTCTCAGCATTATTTGTCACTAGGAAATGCAAATCAAAACCTTGCTAAGATACCATTTCACAGCCACCAAAATAACTATAATAGAAGAGCTGGATAATAGTGTTGACGAGGATGTGGAGAAGTTGGCACCTGTGTGAACTGGTGGTGGGCATGTCAAATAGTGCAGCCACCCCAGGAGTATGTGGATGGGGTGGGGAGTGACTGCCTAATGGGTACAGGGCTTTTTGGAATAATTCTAAAGTTAGATTAGATGAAATTTTTATCAGATAAAGTTGAGTGTTGCAAACCTGCCCACTGCTCCTGTCTGACAGGCGATCCTTGTCATTTCTCTATTCTGCTACTGAGTTGGTTTAGGTAGAATGTGGCAGCATATGAAATGAAGCCTGTGAAATGTCTGGTACTCATCCGCCGCCTTAGTCTCCCCACCAAGCCCAGTGTCCCTTTGATCTCTTCTGTTTTACGACAAACCTTCCCTAGCTTTATTGAATTCAATTTTTTTCCCTCAACTAATTTCCATTCCACCCCAAATTTTCATTCCTTATCTAGGTGTTTCAGGGTATGTGGTTTGTTGCATTGGTTCATCTGAGTCATATTCTTTTATATATTTGTATTTTTAAGATATAGAACAGAGGTTAGCAAGCTTCCTCTATAAAATAACCAGATGTAAATATTTTCAGTTTTATAGACCATACATGTGCCGTTACAGCTAGTGAACCTTGCTATTGTAGGGTGAAAACGGCCATAGGCTACACATTATTGAAGAGACATGGCCTGATTTGACCCTGGGCAGGCCAGATCAAGCCAAGTTTGCCAAGCCATGTTATAAAATTCTTAATTCAGAGGCTCACTATCAAGACAAAACAGAATAAAGATACTTAGGTGCAATAAGTTTAGGCAGTTATGCCCCTAACTTCCACTACCTATGAGAGTGATTCCATTTCTTCACTGTTGTATATTTCTTCCAAGGTTATCTGAGGCACAGAGGTCAAAACCTCACCACATCACTTTTGAAAGTTTACCAAGCTCTATTTAGAAGATATAGTCATCACTGGGTATCCATGGGGGGTTGGTTCCAGGACCCCCTTCTAATATCAAAATCTTCAGACGTAAATCTCTGACATAAAGTCGCATACTATGTGCATGTAAACTATGCACATCCTCCCCTAGACTAAATTGTCTCTAGATTACTTATAATTCTTGAAAAAAACGTGAATGCTGTATAAATGGTTGTTACACTTTATTGCTTAAGGATTAATGACAAAAAAGTCTACATAATGGGTACAGATGCAACCATGTTTTTTTTAATACTTGTAATTTGTGATCAGTTGGATCCTTGGACACAGAACCCAGGCATAGGGGGGCTTGGTCGTACCAGCCTTTGCATAGCCACTAAAGACCTTGTCATGAGGGTTTAGGTTATTATCAAGAGTATATTGAAAGCCGAGTGCAGTGGCACAAGCCTCTAATCCCAGCTCTTTGGGAGGCCAAGGAAAAAGGATTATCTGAGCCCAGGGGTTCTAGATCAGCCTGTGCAACTTGGGGAGACCTCGTCTCTACAATAAAATTTTAAAAATTAGCCAGGCAAGGCGGCGTGTGCCTGTAGTTCCAGCTTCTTGCAAGGCTGAGGCAGAAGGATCGCCTGAGCCCAGCAGGTTGAGGCTGTGGTGGCTGTGAGCGTGCTGCTGCACTCCAGCCTAGACGACAGAGTGAGACTCTGACTCAAAAAAAAAAAAGAGTAGGTTGATATATCTGTGTGTGTAAATATAAAAATAAATATGACTGGGCACGGTGGCTCACGCCTGTAATCCCAGCACTTTGGGAGGCTGAGGTGAGAGGATTGCCTTAGCCCACAGGTTCAAGACCAGCCTGGGCAACTTGGTGAGACCTTAGCTCTACAATAAATTAAAAAATTAGCCAGGCGTGATGGCGCATGCCTATAGTTCCAGCTACTTAGAAGACTGAGGCAGAGGGCTCACCTGAGCCCAGCAGGTCGAGGCTGCAGTGACTATGAGTGTATCACTGCACTCCAGCCTGGACGACAAAGTGAGACTCCAACTCAAAAAAATTAAAAATAAAAATAAATAAATAAATAGACGTGTATCTGTATGTGTATGCATACAAATAATATATTGTGTGTGTGTATAAAATTTTCTGAAATTTTTACCGTGGAATGCATTTGGCTAGTCTTGAAAATGTCTCAAATTTATTGACTAGGGATAGTCAAAAATTTGAACATGAATTATGAACATGAATTTAAGGTAAACCAAGAAAAAATAAATACTGGATTATTTGATCCTACTAAAATGGATACCAAAGAATCAGGATCAGTGTGGCTTGCATTTTCTACCATAGTATTCTAGGTTAATTTAAATATTTTCCTTCAATCTGATATTTGTTTAGCTTTTTGAGCATATGATAATTGTTCACGGGTAAAAGAAATACACTGTTAGACAATGATATTGTTTCAGATCATGCCAATTACCTTGTGAAGTATTTGAGTTTATGATATGTACTTTATATATGCAAAATTATATTTCAACTAATATTTCCAAATAAGACTGGTAAGAAAAGTTTGCATTTGCCATATATGTGTTTTACAAATTACTGAATAATATGGAATGACTATCTCTTTGTTTAAGCATTTCTTAGAAAAATAAAGCATTATTAGCTTTGGGGGATTTAATCCATGCAGGAAAACAAAATGGCCTATGATACCCCAGAATTTTTATTTATTTTTTTGGAAGTTAGTATATGTCATGAACAGGTATTTTAAGTAACTCTGACCATTGACATTGGTTTATTATATGCCAGGCACTATTCTAGGCACCGGGAACAAAATAGTGAACAAAATAACCTCTATCCTTGTGGACCTTACATTCTAAAAGAAGACGAAGGCAGTCAACGCTTGTTTATTGTTTAATAAAAAAGTTATGTGCTGTTTTAGATGTCAAGTACTGTGGACACACAGAACAGAATATGGATGGATCAGTCTTTTAAAGAGTTATTACTTATCTATCTCATGTGAATTTTCGTCTTATTTTTTTTCTTCAATTTATAGTTCCAATGACAGGATTTACACAGAGAGCAACTATTGATCCAGAACTGAATGAAATACATGTCTTATCTGGACTCAGCAAAGACAAAGAAAAGAGGGAAGAGAATGTCAGAAATTCATTCTGGATTTATGACATTGTGAGGAATAGTTGGTAAGGAACTCTTGTCTGTGCTGCAATCCCAACGTAGTGTTGATTTTGGTTGTGGGTCTGTTCAAAAGAAGAGAGAAACGGGAGGCTTATGTTGATCTGTGGCATTGTATAGTATATTTAAAGGTCAATATTGAAAAAACAATCAATGTCAGTGCCTATGTATACAATGATATTCAGTGAATGAATTTGACCTCTGTGTTTTTCCATTAGTAGATGTTCCTGGTCTGGGAGTCACAGGAATTATATTTTATTCTTGGTTCTTTTCCTAAGTAGGTGTGTGAACTTGAGAACAATGCTTTTTTGTCCCCAGATGTTAGTTTTTATAAAGTGACGAGGTTTAACTGGAGCAAGAAGAGGGAAGTATTAACATTTCCAAACCATGACCCTTTTGTCGTTAGAGCATCTAACAGAGCGAGTGCCACACATTTTGTTTGGGAAAACATGACTCTAGTTCTAACCTTCTGTGGCTTCTTGAATGTTCTGCATACAGAAGCACATTGGAGAAATTCTCCATTCAGCAACAGAAAGGAGTGCTCTGCAACTGAGAAATGTGTTATTTTCCCAGTAGGACCTTTATTTACAGTCAGGTGACAACAGCCTGCTCTGCATTGTATTTTTGTGCATAGCTAGACAAGATAGCATATATTTCAGCCTTTAGTCTGACTTTCATGTATGTCGTTTGTGTTTTGTAACACGAGGCAGGTTGTTTTAAGTGATGTATTTACTGGACATCAAAAGAACTTCAGAATTCAGTTTTAACAAATTTAGATTGTTTTATCAGTGACTAGAACTTTAAGTTTTGATGTGAACAAGTTTCTGACTTTGTTCATAATTAGACTTCCAGTTAATGTGCTGCTACAGTTGTATTAACATCATGCTTGCTGCTAACTTTCTAGGCCAGAATGCCCTAAAAGCAGTGTCTTGCAGGTCTTGCGTCTATAAGAATGATCAAGCCGCAAAGGACAATCCAAGTAAAAGTCTTCAGGAGGAAGAACCGTGTCCAAGATTTGCCCATCAGCTTGTATATGATGAGCTGCACAAGGTACCCTGTTACTATTAGCCTGTAAACCTTCCAAAGTGGGCTTGAACAAAAGATTCTATTACATAGTAGACTTTCAATGGAATATGTAGCAAAACTCACTATTACTTCTCCCTAAAATTTCTTAAGAGAATAATTATTTTTGCATAGTCTGTAATTCTTGACATTTTTCTTTTTTTGAAAATAGCAGTGTCTGCTTCTTAGCTGCATAGATTAGACCTATAGCATGGCCTATTATTTCTCCAATAAGAATGTCCAAGTAAAAGAGGTACAGTTTTCAGCATTTAGGCACTTTGTTCCATGATATGAGAAGGAATGGGTATGTAACTTTCTGCTTTTAGACTTCCCCATTGTGTAAGAAGTCTTTTTATCTTTTTTTTTTTGTTAAATATATGAGTGACATCTCTTTTCCACTAACCTTGTGAAAGTTGTTCTGCATTCTGAAGTTTTAATGTTGCTAAGTGTTCAGTGTTTTTTATTTTAACTGTTTCTCCTTACAGCTAACATGTACTTTAGTGATTAAACTTAGATTATATAGCAAATTACTGACAGACTGTGATTCTTTCTGTTAGGCCATGGATGATTACTTAAATTCTATGCTGTGTAGTTTGTGACTTCTAGGTAAAAAACACATGGGAATGAATAAAAGCCCTTAGAGTCTTTCCATCTGTAGACTAGAGATAATAACTCCATTGTCTAACACCAACAAATAGAAATGTTTTCAAATTTTTAGGAATTGCTTTAGTACAAAATAACGTTACAACTCTGATTAATGTAATAGTCATTATCATAATCCTTTTCATTTCTTTTTTTTGTGTTGAATTATGGAATAACGTTTTTGTGTTAGTTCACATATGTGCCATTTAATATTTTACATTTCAGTTAAATAAGCAAAATTGAGTTGTTAAAATGTGTTAGTTTCTAGTTGACTGTTGGCTTGGCTGTTGACTTTTAGTGGTTCAACAAGTTATCAGAGTTTTTTTTTTAAGATAATCATTTGTTTCTATGATCCAACACTTGATTTGATAATCCCCATTATATGTTGTCCTCGGTAAACTCTATCTTGGATTAGCTTATTCCTACCATATCTTTTGTTTCATGCCTTCCACTGTCACTGTAATTGTGTTAGTACAACTCATTTTAGTATAAAGTGTAACTTAAGAAAGTAGCCATAGTGCTTTAAAGTAAAATGGAAACTTGAGAAAAATCAAGAGAGGCCTTTGATAAAACTGCAGTGTAACTTTAATTTTTTTTTAATTTGAATAAGGATAAGGAAATCACCTGTTATGTACTGCTACCAATGTTTCTTGAATATGCATGCATTTTTTAAAAATCTGGTTTATCTTGCTTATTATAGGTTCATTATTTATTTGGTGGGAATCCAGGAAAATCTTGCTCCCCAAAGATGAGATTAGATGACTTCTGGTCCCTGAAGTTGTGTAGACCTTCAAAAGATTACCTACTGCGACATTGCAAGTACCTCATAAGAAAACACAGGTATCAAAGTAATTCACTGAAAATGTTTAATCAATATCATCAGCTGTTGTTGGCATTAATGAGCTTTGGAGCTATGACTTTCTCTTTGTAAGTTTAATATTCAGACAGTATAAATACTGTGAAGATGATGGATTTTGTAAATGTCCTGTCATTCTAGGTTTGCTTTTCTCTTTCAAAGGAAGCTACACAATGAAGATAGATATTGATGCTGAAGATTTCTAAATACAAGACAGGTGGAATTTTGCAACAGTTATAATAATGGAAATAGTTTTTTTGTGAAGAAGGGGACACGCCTACCTTGAAGTGACTCTAGGCCTAACCACTACAAATTAGATTAGCTCCAGGTTACTGATACATGCCTGAGCTGTTGATGATTCTCTTAACAGTGGATGTGATGATATAGCTGACTATACAGTAGCTTTATAATTTGATGTTTCCCAATACAATTTCAAAGTATGATTGTAGTTCTACATCGTTACCTTTGTGACTTAATTGCAAAATCATGTAGCCAAACATTTTCATATAAATCTCTTGAGTCATGTTTGTTTTTTAGCTTAGCAGGTGATAAACTGCTAAAAACCTAGAAAAGTGTTTCTCTCCTTTTGATTACTGATATTGTTATATGGTAATAAAAGTTTGTTTTGGAAGGCTAGCCCTGAATGATGGTTAGCCCGTAGTGGCAGTAGCTGCTATTTATTGAGTCGTTATCTCTCAGTAGACCCTGTGTTTTCTCACAGTAAGCCAATGGGAGTAGGTACTATCATTTCCACTATTTTATAAAAGAAGAAAACAGGCATTTTAATTTTTTTATTAATAAATTGAATTTGACAGGAAAACTTGCACCACAACAGTTTAAACCTCATGATTAAAGATTGCAGCACTCCCAAGAGTGGTCACAGAATATGTACAGAACGTGAAGAAAGCATTACTCCTCAGAGCTGGTCACCATCAAGTTAAAAGCACCTGCCATGCAACATATATGCTGATTAATTTCCTTCAGGTCATGACCAGCATGACAGAGGCTTTTTTTTTTTTTTTTTGACAGAGGCATTTTTTAATGGATGCAGTAACTCATCTGAGGTCACCCAATCATAAGTGGCAGAGCCAGGTTTTGATCCTGGGTATTCTGAGTTTAGAGCTCCCCACGTAAGCATCATATATATATTTATACATACATATACACAGAGACACATACATGCATGCATTTGTGCTTATTATCTAGATTTTTAGGAGATACAGAATGTGAATCCATAAAAGTTACGTCTATGAATTGTGTGTGTGCATCTGTCACATGATGTCCAGCTGTTGCTCCTCCATCTGCTTGTAGAAGTTGTGCTTCAGAGATAGATTAATGATAGAAGATAGTTTGGGGCATTCCTGGATTCATACTTAGTGTATTTCTTATAGGATCTGCAGGGGAAAGGGTCTGAATCTTCACATTGTCTGAGTGGCAAGGGATAAACTGTTTTATTAAGATTTAAGCTTAGGCATCTTCAGCTAATGTTTACATTGCTAAAATTTTATTATTTAGTGTTTTACTTAATGTTAAACTTTGTTTTTAAAAGGATAAGGCAAATTTAGGAAGATTATAGTGTTCTTTTTCTACTTCGGCTGAAACAACTGGTAGTTGAAATGTTAAGTTGAGCTCTTTTAAAAATTTTGTGTAGTATTTACTCTGTTTGTTTAGATATAGGGCAGAACTACTGATGGAAATACAATTCCAGACCGCAGCCACAAGTCCAGCGATAAACTCTTACTGGATTCAATAGTATGGTAGATGTGTTGATTAGGGTAATTTCAGGTTGCAAAGGATAAAGACATGCTTAGGATACCTCAGCTGAAAGAGAACCTACTATGAAAATACTTGGGGAATTAAGGTGCCTTTTCAGTATTTGAACAGTGAAGCTGGATGGAGAATAGTTTAGGATACTGGAACAGTACAAAAGACAAGAGCTGCTATAGTGGCTTTTCCTTGGACCTCTCTCTGCTTCTTTCTCTATCTCCTTCTTCTAGTCTACTGACTATCCTGACATTGTTTTCCTTCAGCCTCATGGGATGGGTGGGTAGGTAGGTAGAAAGAGACAAGACAGGAAGGAAGGAAGGATGGAAGGAAGGAAGGCAGGCAGGCAGAAAGAATCTGCTGTCTTGTGGCTTCTATTTATTTATTGCCTTCTCTATTCTTGTCTGCCTTTTACATGTCTTTGTATATATCTTACATTCAGATTCTCCAAGAGAAAGTATCTCCTTAGAAAGCATTTCCTGGAGAGAGTCTCTATTGGGGAGAATTCTGCCAAGCCACTTTTTATGAACCGCTTATAAAGCTTGATGCCAAAACTTTGATCTAATCTAATCTGTTGGGAACAAGATGGCAGAATAACCTGACCTCTGTCTGAGGGACTCTCATCTGAAGGCCGTCAGTCTGGCTGTCACTGTCACTCTTAGGGTCCTGCATGGTACAGGAGAGCCGACTATCTTGCTAGTCTTTGCCCCTGCCTAAAGTACAGATACCCTGTCACTGAGGATGCCATCAGCCTGAACACCACTGGGAAGGGCTCTTTACCATTTTTCCTACCCAGAGGAGATTAAATGAATTGTCTTTTCTTTGTCTGTATAATATTTTGAAAAGCATACCAATTTATTAGAAATAAATGCAGGTATAAGTGTGCTATAAGGACATTATCTTATTTAGAAAGATGAACAGATCCTTTAAGATAACTCATTGTTGCCTTTTCAGCTGCAATTCGATAGGCCTGTGTTTGATTCTGCATCTACTACTTACTAGCTCTTGGTCATATTCACTCTCTAGACCTCAGTTTCTTATTTTTTTTAATGGTAATAAAATAGATCATCATCATAGTGTTGTTATGAGGATAAATGAAGTGATATATGTAAAATACTTGATACAGTGTTTAACGTTACACAAATGCTTGATACGTGGTTGCTATAGTTTTTCTGTTACTGCTATTACTGACTGAGTCATGGAGATAATCTCATTAAAAATATCTAATCAGCCGGGAGGCTGAGGTGAGTGGATTGCCTGAGCCCGCAGGTTCGAGACCCGCCTGGGCAGCGAGACCTCATCTCTACAATAAATTAAAAAATCAGCCGGGCGTGGTAGCGCATGCCTGTAATTCTGGCTACTCGGAAGGCTGAGGCGGAAGGATCGCCGGAGCCCAGCAGGTCGAGGCTGCGGTGGCCGGGAGCGGCCACTGCACTCCAGTCTGGGCGACAGAATGAGACCCCAACTCAAAAAAAAAAAAAAAAAAAATCTAATCATTGTTAAAGAGACCCTATTCATTTCTGTTTCCAAAGTATCTGTTAAGAACCTCCACTGGAAAATATATTAGACAAATCTGAACCAGTATTTATATTTTATCTCTACCAGTTTTGGATGAAACACATTAGGCTGTTTTGCAGTCTTGTTACCTGAAACGCTTGGGGTATCCATTGTTTCCCAGATTATAGCTTCAAGAGAAGAGCAGGACTGCTCTTGCCCACAGCTGCCGGTGACCCCTGGTATTGCCATTGTACTTCCAAGATCTCCACGTCTGCACTATCTGATGCAGAATTCTTACTCCAGGATTCCTGAACAGCTTTTAGATATCCAGAACAACCCCTCATGCACAGTGTGTTTCACTCCAGGTCTGGAAGATGTTTCTGATGTTTTCTCATAACTCCAGGCAATTATTATTCATGTTTACATGTTCTAGGTTTGAAGAAAAGGCCCAAATGGATCCCCTTAGTGCTCTGAAGTATTTGCAAAATGATCTTTATATAACTGTGGATCATTCAGACCCAGAAGAGACAAAAGAGGTAAGGAAAAGAAATTTCAGAAATTGAGTATTCTTAAAATGTCTTTCTAGCTTATATTTGCTGATTTTGCTCTTGAATGTTTAAAGGAAAATGAAGAAAACATGATGACACAGAGCAGGTGAAGTAAAAATTGAACGGGCCTATTTTTAAGTGATAATATAAAATTCAAGTATACAAAAAAAAACCCGTAATCCATTTAAGAAAGGATTCTGAATAGCCGGGTTCGGTGGCTCAGCCTGTAATCCTGCGCCTTTGGGAGGCTGAGGTGATTGGATTGCCTGAGCCCGCGGGTTCGAGACCCGCCTGGGCAGCGAGACCTCATCTCTACAATAAATCAAAAAATCAGTCGGGCGTGGTAGCGCATGCCAGTAATTCCGGCTACTTGGAAGGCTGAGGCGGAAGGATCGCCGGAGCCCAGCAGGTCGAGGCTACGGTGGCCGGGAGCGGCCACTGCACTCCAGTCTGGGTGACAGAGTGAGACTCCAACTCAAAAAAAAAAAAAAGAAAGGATTCCCAGGTATAGCGTTTTCACTAGACTTTAATTTTCTGTTTCAGAAAGGAAGCAGAAATGTTTACTTCTTCTAAAGTCCCGTAGCTCTTTTATTAAGGATTACACAGTAGTTCGGTATAAATTCTTCTGTTGATAGTCAAGAGCCTTCAAAAGAGAAAACTCCCCTGTTTTGTAGGAAGAAGGTGAAGAGAGGTGGGTGGGAGTCGAATTCATGGTGCCTTCATGTCCTAGTGACATGTGGCAGTACAGCTTGACTACAGGCTGCTGACTTCATTCACCCATAGCTGCTGAGCTTGAAAAGCCAGTAGCCAGTTGTGACTCTTCAGTTTTGTTATGGGGTAGACACACGAGGTTCTAAAGATTTCATATTCTTCTCTCTCTCTTTCGCTTTCTCTCCTTTTTTTGTTTTTTGTTTTTGGTTGAGTCAGGGGACTCACTCGGTTGCCAGCCTGGAGTGCAGTGGTGGCGTGATCATGGTTCACTGCAGCCTTGACCTCCCAGTCTCAGGTGATCCTTTTGCCTCAGCCTCTTAAGTAGCTAGGCTTATAAGTGTGTACTACCACACCCAGCTAATTTTCTTTAGTTTTTGGAGAGATGAGCTCTTACTATGTTGCCCAGACTGGCCTCAAATAATCCTCCTGCTTCAACTTCCAAACTGCTGAGATTATAGGCGCTGTGTTCAGCCAGATTTCATACTCTTAAGGTCTTTTATTAATGACAGTGTGTTAATACACCTGCAATACTTTTTATGGTTTGACAGCCTCTTTCCACCAGTTTCCGAGATTTTTTTCAGTTATTTTTCCTTGTGCCAGCCATCCTTGTTCATCCAGCAACATCTGAACTACAGCCCATTTTGCCTTTCACTGACAGAACTGGTGCTAATTCTGTGTTGTTTTTTTTCCTCTGGTCTGTTTCCCTGTCAGCTGTTGCCTTGCTTTGGCTTTGTAATAGCAGCATCCGGCAGTACTTTTCCTGATCGGCATTGGCACAGCATCAGATCCAATGTCAAATCACATTTAGGCACCAGGTTCATTATACTTTCAAGCAATGGAGCCTGCATTTCTTCGGCACCAAAACAAAGAGATACTGTTTTGTAGCTTCCTACTATAAAAATAAGTCCGATTTCTCTCACTCAGTATTGTTTACAACCCTTCCCTAGGTGGGAAGTCGGCAGGACACATTGTAGAACCCTCCCCCCAAAGGGGACAGTTAATTGTCTTTCCTTGAATCTCTAGTCAATTCATGATACTGTTGGAAATAGAGGACGTTATCATTGCTTTGTCAAGTAGCAGAATATGTTAGATATAATCCATTAGATTGTGATTTTGAGAGTTATACATAGATTTCCTTTTATTTTCTCTGTATTCTATATTAAAATAACTGTATCTGGAAACAATCATTTGCTCCTTATTTTTTAAAACCAAAACAAAATACCTCAGAGTAATTAATTTCAACTGTGGAAGCTACAAGTAGGCCAAAGAATGCAAACGGGTTGTTCTTAGAGCTAAGCTGATTTAGAAATCAGAGCAGGGAGGCATCACAGGTCCAAACGGAGCCATTTGAAAATTGTGGTAGCTGGTTTCTGTTTTTCTTTTTTTTAATAATAACAACCTATAATTTTGTATGCCCGAAACTTCCATTTTATAAAAGTTTACTATCAAGAGCTGGTCAGCCCAAAGTTTGTAAAAATGGTGGTGTGTGTGTGTGTGTGTGTGTGGTGGTGTGTGTGTGTGTGTGTGTGTGTGTGTGTGTGTGTGTGTGTGTGTCGGCATCAGAGTCACTTCAGAAACTTTTCAAAACAATGCCCTCACCCTAAAGTTTTCTGCTGTCTGCTCATATATAAACTATATATGAAACACTCCCAACATTGAGAATTTCTGGTCTGTAAGAGTATTATTTTGTTTAAAAAGTGTAAATAGGCCAGGCACGGTGGCTCACGCCTATTTCCCAGCACTTTGGTATGCCAAGGTGAGAGGATTGCCTGAGCCCACGGGTTTGAGACCAGCCTGAGCAACTTGGTGAGACCTCATCTTTACAATAAATCAAAATATTAGCCCAGCATGGTGTCACATGCCTGTGATTCCAGCTACTTAGAAGGCTGAAGTGGAAGGATCATCTGAGCCCAGCAGATTGAGGCTGCAGTGGCCACGAGTGTGCCACTGCACTCCAGCCTGAGTGACAGAATGAGACGCTGACTCAAAAAAAACTGCTAATAGATTTAACTTTTAAAACGTTTTATACCCCAACAGTCAGCAGTCAGTCTCAGGGAAAGAAATCTCCTGGAGGTAGTTAAAGTATATTTACGTATAGTATTAGCCAGTGACGCATATAGGTCTTCACTTTCTTTGTGGAAAACCATTCCACTCATCAAAAAAGGCTTTCCTATTACTCATTCCCGTTAATAAATTGTTTTGTTCTATTTGATGTCCAAGTCTTACAAAATTTTTGTTATATCAATGGCTTTTGTTATAACAGAAAATACTTTTTAGGGTTTCTGTTTGTTTTTTGGCTTTGGTTATCATCATGACCCTCATCATTGTGCCTCTTAGGACAATGGCAGTTGACTATATACCAGATAATGACTCTTTGCTCCCTCTAGTCTTCAGAACATGGATTCTGAATTGGTGATGAATTTCTAGTAAAATGATTTTTTTCCTAGAAAAGACCTGAGAAAAGAATGCCTAAATTAATCCTCTCATTTTCAGAGAAGACTCAAAAATAGAGAAGGAATGAGAAAATACATTTTCAGCAGTATAGCATATTTTGTATTCATTAGACCTCTGCTGAGTTTTAAAAGTACTGATGTCATTCATTCAATGCATGTGTATTGGTTCCCTATATATGCCAGGCACTGTTCTAGCACAGGAGAGATATAAGCAAACCAAACAAGATTTCTGCCCAGGAGGTACTTCATCCTGCTGAGGAAAGACAATAAAAAATAAGCATTAAATAAGCAAAGTGTATAGTGCATTAGAGTGTTATAAGGATTATGAAAAATAAAAAAGAAGGGTAAAGGGATACCAGAAATAAAAGGGGTAAGAAGGGACAGTGGTATTAGTAGTAGGTCACATGTAGAAAGAAGACTTGAAGGGGTAGGAGGGAGTGGACGAAGCAGGTAATTTGGCAAAGATGATATCTGACAAAAAGAGGACTAAGACAAGGATTCTAGGGTAGACGCATTCTGGCATGGTTGAACTCTGAAACTGGTGTAGAGGCAAGGAGGGCAGGAATAGTCACAGATGAGGTTAGAAGGATGGAGCAGGTGGAGGCCAGAGAAGAGGTTGAACTGGTGAGAGTGCGTAGGGGAGGGGGT